GGCTCTCCTATCTTCCACTGCCTCCCGGAGTAGTGTCAAATTCATGTTGGTTGCTTTGATGACACTGTCCAACCATCTCATCCTCTGTCGTTCCCTTCTCCTCTTGCCTTCACACTTTCCTAACATCAAGGTCTTTTCCAAGGAGTCTTCTCATGAAGTATTGAGCCTCAGCTTTAGGATCTGATTAATGTATGTTAATATTAGTTAAAACCTTCTGATGGTAAAGGTATTTAACAGTGGAATGGACTGTCGTGAAAAGTGAGAGATTGTCCATTGGATGTTTTTAAACAGAGGTGGGCTGCCCATCTGTCAGGGGTCTTAGCTGCAGATCCCTGCTTTTATATTTTGCAGGGGTTGGACCATTAGACAATCCTTGGGGTCTGTTCCAACACTATCTGTAATATTGTGCAACCTATATCCTCCAAACCACTCAAGAGACCAGACATGGCATGATCCCTTATACTGTATTATTGCTACAATACTGCATGAAGTAGGTTAGTAGCTACCTGCTTAAATGCAAGGGTTAGGTGATACCTTTATTGACCCACTTAATTTTTTTTAGGTATTACTTAATTCTTGCATTTGTGTAATCCTGAACTACACATCCTTTTCCTAGTTCTACTTACTTAAAGTCACTCATAGAACATATTTGGTGTGCAAATATTTGAACCCAGTCCTCTATGACTACTTCTCTAGGTGTCTGCTTCTGTAAGGCAACAGGGTCATGCTGTTGTCCACAAAACAAGCAAACACTGAACAACAGCTTTGAATTGGATAAAGCTTTATCATGAGTTATGCAAGTATGGAAACTAGGAAGTTATGTGACATTTCCAAGATTATATTATAGTGGCATGCAGAAATAAAGTGGGTTTCAGAGGACAAGCGTTAACAGGGCCAGATCAGCCAAGATCCATTTAATTCTGTATCCCATGTTAAATGGTAGTCTAAGCAGAGGTTGACTTAATGGGGGGAAATGATACATGGAAATTCATGCTTCCTTACAGTATGTTATATATACTGTATAAGGTTGGGAGCCATCAACCCAATGCCATGTCTCTGACACAGCAACAACATAGAGGTTTAGAGAGATACTGATCCTGTGCAAATTTACTTGGAAGAGAATCACAGGAAGTTCCTAGGGTTCTGCATCAAGTTAATTGAAAGTTTTGGCAAATTTGGTCAGATCCCCAAGGTATGTGAAATATTTATGAGGGGGTTGTATCAGTGAATTTCCATATCCAAAGTGGGATTTGAAACCAAGTCTCTTGGATTCCAGGCTGACACTCTATCCACTACATTCTCTGTCTTTGTGGGATTACTCTCAGAGAAATGAATGGATATGCTGTCTTTGTTCAAACTCAGTTCCTCTCCCTCAGGAGTGTGCAACTGGACTTCCTGGTTGCTGCTCTTTTACAGCTATTATAATAGCATGCACAGGCAGCGGTAAAGGTTGATGGGACATTGTAGTCCAAGAAAATCTGAGGTAGATTAGTCCATTTTTTGTGTTGCCTCTCCCTGTCAACCTTAGACCTCAGAACTTCAGCTCTAACTGTATCAGTTCTGTTATTCTTATTTTGCGAAGTGCCTTATCCACGGATGGCACTTACAATATAGTATAACAATATTATAACAATGTGTTATCAGACTGCATCCACAGAGAAACTTCACAAGAATGGCTTTATTTTTTAGGTGGGTATAGACACAAATCAAATTCCCACTGGGATTTATCATGTGAATCAGTGGTGTGAGGTCCTGGAAGGTACTTCGTAGGTGTGACTCTGGAAACCTGGACGATTTGAAGAGATCATCATACGCCCTCAAGATATAAAGACTTATGATGACCCCTTTCAGGCAGAGAATATCCAAAACCATTCCCTTCTTTTGGGGGCGTCCTGGGAGTGTGACTCTTCTCTTCAGGAGGCACAACGGGGAAATCGGATTCCCATTCTTTGGATCCGCAACCAGATGGTACTTAAACCTCAGAACTAGAGTGTGAAGAGAAGGCTGGCTCTTCTCTTCAGGAGGCACAACGGGGGAAATCGGATTCCCATTCTTTGGATCAGCAACCAGATGGTACTTAAACCTCAGAACTATCCAAGAGGGACTCTCTCGGAATAAAATCTCGCCTCAGTCCTTTATACGAATTTATGTGGAAAAGGAATAGATGGCCCTAGCTTGCGTGCGTGGGAGAGGAGAAAGCTCTTTTGAGAGGTGAGAAGGAAACCAAGCTTCTTCGAAAAGAGAGATAATTTTAACCCATCTCTTCAAGAACAAAACAAGACGTCCCTTCCCTTCTTCCCTTCCGCCCCTCCGGGTCTCCCTCCCTGAGGGAAAACCGAAGGCGCGGGAGAGGGAGAGAGAGAGAAGAAGAAGGAATAGGAAAGCACCGCGAGACCGCGCGCCGCGGCCGAGGCCGCCGTTTCCAAACCGGAGGCGCGTCCCCGGCAAAAGGCGACGCGCGCAGCCGAGCTGTCACGTGACCCCTCCCCCGGAGGTGGAGCCGCGGCCGGGCTTGAGGGTCAGTGTCCTGGAGTTGCGGACCTGCCCTGTCCTCCTCCTCCT